TGACTTGTGTTTCGAGCAACATGGAATTGTTTTTGCTTTTTTTATCAATGTTAACTTATTCGTTGTTTATGTGTTAAAATAAATATAAAACAAATTTTTGTGTTTTCAATGGTGAGTATCACCAGGGTGGGAAATAAAGTCAATTGACCTTATTTGCGTTGATCTTATTACCTGTCACCCTTTAGTTATATCAATGGGTAGGTTCAGAAGGCGCAGAAGTTGAGCGCAACCGTTGCTAAAAAAAAATCAGTGATTGTAATACGTCTTCTGAACGGCTTGATACATTAGCTGTCAAATTCAATAACACACAACATGTTGTCTCAAATGATCAGAAAAGTATTACGATCATCTAACACGCAACTATTCAGTTGCTCAGAGGTACAAAACAACGCGTTCAGAAGGTGCAATCGCAACAGTTACTCAGCTGTTGCGTCTTCTGAACGTGCCCAATATCAATTGGAGTCAGTGTCTTATATACAATCAGACACAAAACTATACTTTTTCCGGGTAGATGTTGCTTTTTTACTGGATACTTTTCCTAATACCAAACTGATATGCATATCCTTGCATTTTCCTTTTAACATAACTCTTTATGCTCTTGAGGTAACATTCAGCCACTAATTTTCATTGAAAATATTTATCTGCTATTTATATGTCTGTTCTGCAGGTTACAGAAAATTTTGTAGAAATTAGAGCTGTAAAACTATCGATGGTAATATCGATACCATCGAATGATTATATTTTTTGCACTATCTAATTGTCGTTTCCACTATCGATAGTCTTTGTTTGAGGAAATATACATATAGTTAGGAATTGGAAATTTCTTTAGATTTTAAAAAATTAAAATTTTTTGGATTCACAAGGACGAATAGGTAATTTTTAAGGCGACAAAGTTAGAAGAACGAAACTTGAGGATATTATCGAGTTTATATAAGCCGTTAACATATAATTAAAAAAACAAAAAATGAATGGTCGCCGCGAATAACGTTGTAAGCGACATAGTGCTCAGAAATGGATAAAAACCGTCTTTGACGAAGCACATAAAGTCATTTGATGTAGTTTTCCATTTTTCGGTGCAGCAGTCTCCAAAAAACTTGCCCGTGAATTCAAATGTATATCCATATATATTAAGTCAGAAAGAGATTTACAAAATGTTAATGATGGAATAACGTTTTTCCACTCACTACTTACTTTGGAGCGTAGGTTAATGTCAGAAAACTGGTGGAAATTGAGAAATTTCGCGACCTTATGATACGCGAGAATATTTTTAACGCTAATCCGCGAAAAAACTAGTTTTGAGTAAATTGGCGCTTACAACGTTATTCGCGGCGACCATTCAAATATTGCGAAATTTCAAGAATAAAATTTTAAAATGACATTTTCAATATTTACCAGCCCATCTGCACCAGAAACTTGAATCCGTTTGAATTCTACAGGATCTCCGCATTAATTTTATACCCATACTTCTTCTCTAAGCATATTTCTTTGAATTTTTTAAATTACTGACGTCAGAGTGAAAAACTTAAAACGCAATTTTACTATATTTGACCCATGATTTCGCGAATATATTGATAGTTATGTTTAAAATTTACTATCGCGCGGTGTTATATGTGTAATGAGCTGGACATTTATAAAAAATATTAGCTATTAAATAAAAATAAAAAAAGAAATATAGCCAATACTGGTCAAGAAAAGGAGTTTCTATTATTGCCATCAGTGCAAATTAAAAATCCCGAAAATCCCGGGATTAATTGCCAAGAATCCCGGGATTTTCGGGACCGTAAAAGGGATCCCGGGATTAACATTCCTACTTCACATCGAAATTCGTGCTCCCTTATTTTTATTTAGACGTAGTTCTATGTTGATTCCTTTACTTGCATTTGGCTTTGCTTTTTGTTTTCGCTCAACTTAATTTTTATAGCTTTTCAAAACAAAAGAAAAAACTTTTGAAATGAAGTGAGCCATCATATTTTGAATTTATTTAACTAAATATGCAAATGTTTTTTTCGGCTTTTGCAAATTAAATAAATCCTCTGCAAGAAGGTTTGTTTAAAAAAATACGTGTACACACACACACACACAGGCACATTACGCGCCTAATCATAGTAGGGTAATCGTTTTGTCATGTCAAAACGAATGCATGACGACTCGACTTCTGCACACTTGGGCGCCCTGCGTAAGCCCTGCCGGCGCACACATTGCACATTTTCTGGTCGGTATTTCTCACTAATACACTTCCGCGAACATTTCTGCAATAAAATATTGCATAAACGTTTATGGCTTAATACAATTGGCACGAGTTTGAGCACAAAATCATTAATTTTAATTATTTCCTACTGAAATGACAAATAATTTTTATTTGGAGCACAAAAAAGTTAACAAATGCCGAACTCAAAACGGCAAGCGCCTCACATGGTAGGGCGCTTCGATTCATGAAGTTTTTATGATTAGGCGAAAACATGATTATGAATCGTAATATACAGAGCTTCATTGAAATACATGTGTTCAGTATAAAAGCTTCATACTTTAGTACGCCGGAACGATTACACTATTATAACTAGGCGTTTAATGTGCGGAGTGCCTTAGTGTGGGGAAGAGTGACGTTTTTCAAACAAGGCAGATCGGAATATGCGCTCCCTGGGAAGACAATACTTTCCGGTAATTATTCTACCATGGGTTCAATTATTGAATTCAATTCTGCTTGCTAGTCCAAGAGAGGGGTTGAGAAGAAAAGGGAAGAATACATGTGCGTCTGTACCGTCAACTGGTTCCAAGTTTCTTGCTTTGCTTTTGACATTTTCGTTGTTTCCCATTTAAAGAACCAAAAACTGGAATTCAACAAAATTTAAGCGTATAAAAGCAAACAGAACACAAAAGAGAATGAATCAGAATTGCTTTGAAGTACATACTTGAATCATGTAAATCGTGTTTAACTAAACTAGCAAAAAGCTAGTTTGAATTTCTTTTTGAAACCATACTATAGTGTTAGTGATTCTGCGTCGATAGAAGAAACTATTGATTTAAGCCAGGGTTAGTCAAATTTTGGAGTTTCTTGTATTTCCGCTTGATACTTTGAATGGATAAATAATCATGTTGAAGACGGGGTACGGTTCGCTATTTATACAATGATTTGGGTTCTTGTAGCATACGCTTGAAATATTGTAAATTTTGGAGTGAGTTCTATACAAAAAAACTGTGGCGTAGCCGGAGTTGGACTGCTGAGTAGAGTTGTAAAACTATCGATAGTGCCACCATCGATAGTTTCCATGTTCCAGAGAAAAACTATCATTACTCTTTGATAGTTTCCAGCAATACTATCGATAGTGTCAAACGCTACCATCGATAGTACTATCGATAGTCAATGTAATGTTAAAAACTGTTCCAAATTAACAGGGACGGCATCGAAAAACAAAAAAAAAATAAAAATAAAGAAAATATAAGCACACTTAGGGCCGTTTTCTTAAGTAACTTTTAACTTTAAAATTCACTTTATGTTTAAATATTGCTTTATCATGTATAGTTCTGTCTAAGTAAAGCATTTTATCATCGAATTTTATTTATTTATTTACATATCTATTACTGAAGCTTACAATTAAAAATAAAATTATTAGCCTAGTAAAGAAAGCTTCTTCTTATGATCATGTGTGAAAAATTTGTTGCGGCAAAAGTTACAGCTGTTTTTGATTGACTTGTCAGTACTGATTACGAATCCATGAGCATAAGGTTACCATCAGCTCCAGATTTTGTGAAAACGAGGTCAAAATGTCAAGAAATCGGTTTTTTTTTGCAATATTTTAGAAGCTCTAGCAAAGAAACAAAAGGCGGTATAAGGCTTAAATTAAAGCTAGAAGTCTCGACTACTACCCCTGAAAATACCATCCCTACACCTTGACCTGATGGTCACTTATAGTCATTTATTGAACAGCAAAACCTGATTTTGTGCGAAGTTTGAGTACCCACCGCAATTAAACAAAAGGGGATAGAGCCTTCCACTTGGGCTGAAATTAAGGCTTGAACTTTCGACTACAATCGCTTAAAATACCATCCCTGAACCTTATAGTTATTTATTTAACAGCAAAAACTGATTTTGGCAAAACTTATTTATTTTTTTCAATAGCACAGTATTCATTCCAGTATTTTTATATTGTTCAATAAATGACTTTTAGTGACCATCAGGTCAAGGCGCAGGGATAGTAGCCGAGAGTTATAGCTGTAATTTGAGCCCCAGTTAGAGGTTCTATCACCTTTTGTTTTTTGTGCTAGACTTTCTAGAATATTGCAAAAAGCGCAATTTTTTGACACTTTGACCTCGTTTTTCTCAAAATCAGGAGCCGATGGAAACTTTATACTTACGGATTCGAAATCAGCATAAAAAAGTCTACCAAAAACAGCTTTATCATTTGCCGCAACAAAATCACTGTTGCCTTGTTTAATTGGTGCTTATTATAAATTTTCAAATATGATATATTTTGTTTAAATTTTGTAATATAATTTTTTTATTTGTTTACAGCCAAGAAACATACAAACATCAAACACCGATAATAGCAATGCTTTACTTCAGACATAGCCTCATGGTTTGAAGCAACGTTTAAATATAAGGGAGCTTTTCAATTAAGGGTTGCTTGAGAAAACGGCCATTAAAGGAGTAATCACAATGAAAGTATCACTTATAATAAAAAATTGACAAACTTAAAAAACTTACGCGCAGCTACATGGAGACATTATAAATAAAATCGGCTGTGCTAGAGGTTTTAAACTATCGATAGTCAAATAGTACTATCGATAGTTTAACCTCTTTTGAGAAAAACTATCACTACTTATCGATAGGGGCAAAAAAACAAAACTATCGATAGTTTGACACCTCTACTGCTGAAAGTTTTTTGTAATACATACAGTTTTCTTTAAGTCTACAAGCTATTTGTTTTTCTACGTTTGGGGATTTTAGGTTTTTATTTTATACAATTTTTTAACAATTAGCTAATTCTTCAGAAACTTTCACTTGGCAATATTTTTGGTACTCTCTAAAACTCACTCAGCTTGCAACCCTCCCCCTTTGGTCCGATCACGTGCGAAGAGCACGTTTTCTGGGTCCAACGTTTGTTGAGCTTGACGACAACGTTTCAATAGCCTCTACAACGGCAACAACAACTCACCTGAAAGAAAGAATGAAAAAATTGCATTAGATGTACTCAAATGACGTTCTTAACAGAACTAAAAATTTAATAAAACTTGAACATTCTTAGTCCGGTCAAATTAGATTAAAAAAATAATAGTAAGTTTGCAATAATTCTTACATTGGTACATAGAAGCAGAGGAGTTGGGATGAGTAGGGACTTTAGATATTTCATACAAATATACACATATGTATATATGTACCAGTGTAGGGCAAATTTTAATTGTAAGGACCATTAACAATTAGTGTAACTGTGAATTGCTAACACTACAATTAACAGTTCGTTAATTGTAATTTTGGAGAATAACAATTAACAATTAACTAATTTCTAATTGTAGTAAAGAATAACAATTAATGGTATGATAGCCGTCCACATCCCCGGTCTGTACCGTAGTTTTTATTTTATTTATAAGTAGTTTGTTATCAAAAAAGTAATTGCAATTAAATTAATTGCCGTGTGCAACAAAAAGTTTGATTTCATTGTTTAATCAAAAGCATAATTGCAAATTATTTACCTGCGACTATTTTTTAAAATCAACTAACCAGATGACTAAAAGTTAGTTGATTAACGACCAACTGATATGTATTAACTTTAAGATCTATGCTAATTGTAGTAGATGGAAAAGTGTATTTTGAATGTGAGTGTAGTGATAGTGATAGTACATAGAGATGGATTTCTACCGGGTAAATACCGTTCCTCGATAAAAACGGGGAAACCCCGCCTGAAGTGATGTACGGGGAATAATATTTGTGAACTTTAAAAATGTCCCGACGGCCATTGTGGTGTATAGGTTAAGAGTGCGCGCTACGATTCCACAGAGGATGGGGTCAGGCCCTATTTAACCCAACATCAAAAAATAAAGTTTTTTTCTAATAGCAGTCGCCCCTCGGCAGGCAATGGCAAATCTCCGAGTGTATTTATGCCATGAAAAACATCTTCTCATAAAAATATAATCGCCGTTCGTAGTCGGCGTAAAACTGTAGTTCCCTGCCCTTGTGTGACAATATCAAGGTGCACGCCAAAAATCTTCTTTCTTATATCTGCACATAAAGTTCAGCGATGAGGACACGAAACTCGACCTGCATGGTCCATGGAAGCTCCTTTGAATTTCCGGCTCCGGCTGACGTGAGCCTGGACTTAGTTGAGGGAGCTACTGTCGGGATCTCTACTCAATAATGCTTCCTTCATTTGAAAACCTTATTTCCACTGGTGAGTTGGGATAATTGGAACAAATTGAGGAAGCCGTTCCTTGCATTACCGATGTCTATAATGTGGCCCTCTCCACTTCCTGTTCAATTGTACATAGGAAAGAGGAAGCCATGCTAGTGAACGAAGAAGATAGCCTCGCTCAGGAACGAAAATTAGAGGCTCTTTAATGCGGAATAGCGTAAAGGTTCTTAGAATGCCTACAAGGCTGCTCTAAATAAATTTAAAAAGTGCTACTAGGAAAGCCAAAGGGACTCCTGGAAGGATAACTACGATAGCATAGAGGAGCAGTCGGGAGATAACCGAATGCGAAAGGGTCTTGTGAAAAATTTGACGAACCCGATGTATATTCAGAATCCAAATGCAACTGCACTGTTATTGTCTCTAGAAGCCCGTTGGTAGAAGCGGAGTTATATGATGTAAAAACCGGTAGACAAGGCCATAAAGTCCTTCCAGCACTACAAATCTCCAGCCATGGACGATATCTTCCCTACCGAACTTCAGTCAGCATTGAAGATTTTATATCCACTGCTTGTCTTAATCTATAAGACTTATCTCAAACTTAGTTTCATACAGAGCTGTACCCTGGTGAAAGTGGAAATTTATACAAATAAACTCTCTAGCTGTCGAAATGCTTATTGGAAAAGTAGGTCTGCGGATAGAGCTTTTCAAGTTATTCCTGGTACCATTGAATATACACTAGCCTTTAAGAAATTTGCACTAGGCGCGGGTACCTCCAATAATATTTTCCAAGCCCTAACTCGCCTTGGACTGGGTTAACCTACGTTAGATTTTGTTTGTCGCCTTTGGGCAAAATATGCAGACCTTAGTGTCAATCCGGCAAAAACGGTCATGGTTCTCTTTTGCCTAGCTACAGCTTCCCCCCTTGAACGGTATTACGCGGACTCTCGGAAGATATCGTCTAGATATCTGGCCGTTATCTTTGGCAGAAAGTTAACTTATTCAAGTCTCACATTTTCAACTGTATCTATCTATAGACCTATATGGTAAACTACAGGCAAGTAAATAAAATTTAGTAATTAAAATTTAGTTTAACAAGTATGTTGTTTAATGTGTGCAAGTTTTAAAAAATTAGTCTTTGAAACAAATCATTATTGCTTACTTTTGTAAATGTTGAAAAATCAATAACAATAGTTAATTCGTTCTGTTTTTAAAAACGAAGGAGGAAACAAAATGTAGATACTTATTTTGAAACATGCAAAAATTAATGACTTAATATTACTACAAAGGTAATGTTGAAAACTGTGCGCACAGAAAATGAAAGAAATAAAAAGAAGTTCGAGCGCATTGAAAGTTAGGATTACATATGTATTTGGGAATAGACCTTTTGAAGACACTACGAACGTCGATTAAAATATTTCTAACAAATTTCACATACATACATAAACATGCACAGCCACCTATAAATTTCAATTGGAAGTCAACTGTATATTTTAATTAAAGCGCAGACAAGCATACCATATAATTCCTTCCTTTTCAGTTTGCTGCATCCCTCTTTTACTTTTGTCATACTTAATCTTCAACTTAAATTAAATTACACAGCCAACCGAGACATCAGCTATGTTACATGAAAATTTCGTGAGCAACATGCGAAATTTTCGCATTTATGCAATACAATAATAAGATTATATTGTATAAAGCACACACATATGTACATAAGCATTGCCGAATAAACACAACTAGAGCATGAATATACCCTGTCAGAAAATCAACTACTTTGAAAGCAATTTATTAAGCCCTTTTTTATTACCTACAAGTACTTGAAATTCTTCCTTTTTTCTTTTAACAACGTGATGTCCTAGAAGCAGGTCACTTGTCTGACTCTGCATATGACTTCAGTTACTTTCACATTCATTTCTTTAAAGACCTGCCAAGTCAGAATTTTTCGTTTGAATACGTTTCCGTTCTAGACTTTACAGAAGCGTATTCATGGTTGGAAACGCAAAGAAAAAAACAAACCTTCTATTTTTAACCGACTTCACAAAATGGAGAAAGTTATAATTTCGTCGGAATATATATATATGAGGCAATTCACGTCAAATGCCCCAAGCGCGCAGAGCGGTGCAAAACAAGCTACTTTTCGACTAGCTGGGAATGGGGTGGGGGGAGGGGTGGGGGGTTGTGGTGAAATAACTCAAACGGCAATAACGCGAATTTGTGAATGAACAACTTTTGAACTTAACAATTGAGTAATAAAGCAAAATAGTTAACATACGTAGTCACCCAGTTACATTTGACAACAAGTAGTACATGAACAAGTTAAATGGACGGATTTGTAAGTGTACAATTTTGAAAGAGCCCAGCGCCGCGGCGGTTCGCGTTCGACGTCGCGCTCGCGTTCCCCGCCCCCCTCCACTCCTTTCGATATAATGCACTGGTGGCATTATAATCGTTTAGAAAAAAAATAATAATAAAATGACACTAGTTCTCTTTTGAAACTGCTTTTTAATGTCCAAATACTGGGAACTATTATATTTTTTTTGTGTTGTCAAAATAGAAAGTGATGGCTGGGCTAGTATGCCGACAAGGCCAGGGTATTCGAAATCAGTTTGTTCGATGTAGTGCAAGTGGTTGTCAGGAACAGTTGCCTGTTTGTTTCTTCGAGCTCCGCTCCTTGGATTGGTATAGCTTTCGACGCGCGATTCTCGGTCGGCTCTAGTTGAGCTTGAATGGCGTTTTAAACTGGGAATTATTGCGTATGGTGTTATTGCATGCAACCCACCCATGGAGGAATTATACCAGGGCATGAATCACGTAACTTTGAAACGATAGTCGTTCAAACGATACTGACAAAACGATGTCGTCAAAACACTGATTCATGTATTTGTGTTGCTGTTACGTGTTACTGTTACTGTTACGTGAAGCAAAATTGGAATTGAGTTGACGATATCGCTCAAACGATCGAACAATTTTTGGTTTTCATGAAGCAAGACAGTTTTAGCACGATATAGTCTAGACGATTGTCGTCATACGTGATCCATGCCCAGGTGAAGTAATATTAGAGTGATAAGAAATATTTTGACACTGCCTTATTTGAAAACATGCCTATAAAAGATGACTATAAGACAGCCGAATGTCAGAAAATCAGGCGAGAAAGCTGTTTTATTACTTCACCTGTTTTATGCGCCATTCATCCCACCTGCTTGTACCAAGTATACGTTCAAATTTAGAAGTCTGAGAGTAGGTAAAATTATACATATTTTTACATCAACACTTCAACACACCATATGTTCGCTTCGTCTTGGTAAACAAATCCACATTTCGGATATCGTGAAACCAGTGATGAAAATGCAGAAATTTTAACTGAAGATAAAACTCAAAACAATGTTCTCTGTGGTTATGCTGCGAACAGGAACAGCAACTTTTGATTGTTCCATGTTTATTCTAGTATCGAAAATGTCAATAACTGTTCTGATTTTTTTTCTTCTAAATCAAAGCGTGTCATGTGAAATACAAACAAAAATAAAATTAAAAAAATTTAAGTTGGAAATAATAAAAATTGTTGCAACTTTGTTTCTTAGTAAATTTGTTTGTTTCCCGTAGTATTGATCCAGCGTTTGCAAGGCCCAGTAATCAGCGGTTGTGCTGCTGAGTTGGGCGATCGTTCCAAAAGCATGGAAAAAGCTTTCACATGCAAAACGGTTTTAACAATTTAGAACTTTTGTGAGGAAGAATTGAAATATTTGACATTTTCGAGACCAAATAATTTGTTTGTTTACTGATAATACCTGTTCAATGTGCCTTGAGTCGAA